ACTTTTACAGTGTGTATTAGAAGTATTAGATTTTGACATTCCCCTAAWAAAAACTGTAACAAGATAAAATAAAAAGTGTAAACATCAATAACTGATCTTCCTGTGTGTCTGGGGGCCCAATGTAAAACAATGAACAACATGTAAAAAACATATTGGATTTACTGAACCAAGTTATGTCAACAGTTGAGTAAAAGTAAAGCCACTTTCACATTTACATTTAAAGAAATTATGAAAGTGTTTTAATTGTACTCAACTCAGCTGAGTGGAAATTATTGACATAACTTGGTGAAGTGAATCCAATTTTGACAAATCCAAAATTTGTGTAGATTACATGTATAACRGGAGAAAGATTTTACAGAAAGAAGACGTATGATACTGTCACAGTTTGTAAAATGTTTGGACAAAGGAGTGCATTAAAATAAAATTTATAAGAAGAAACCAAACCAATAAACAAAAATACAAAAAGTAACTAATGCACAGATACTGACAGCTCCTAAAATCTAAGCATTACTAACTTTTATTGAACATTTCGACACTTTATTGTGTATAGTTTGTTGACTTTTTAAAACCTCATTTTCTCATTTTACCTGCAAACATATGTTACAAAATTTAAAGACTTTCTCTTTATTTATGAGTTGTCATTCCCAACTTTGACCTCAGCATAGCAGATATTCTCTTGTTCCTGGCGCTGATGTGGAGAATTTGGGTTTTGTGCAAACAACTGGCTGTAATAAAGTTCTTCCTCTGCTGCTTGAGGTACAGTCTCATCATATGTGGGGCCATAGTTCACCTGAAGAAAACAAAAATCACATTTTAAACTTTTTATATAAATATTACTGAACTTTTGGACATGAAACAAATTTTAAGGTTTTGTTATGAACAAATATTCACTGAATATTTGTTACAATGTTCTAAATTTTAAAACACTGGGGAAAAAAAGATAGGATTAATGTTTTCACCTGTGCTGGGTTGTCAGCTGTTTCATCTCTAGAGAACTGATTAGAAATTGTATATTTCCTGGTTGGAGAAAAGAAAAAACTACATAAAAAATATAGGTCAGGTTAATGATGTTTAACGATATAGATAAGAAATAATAATGTAATACTCACTTTAACAAGAACACACTAAGAAGTATAAAAACCAACAGAGCTGCAAAAAGTGCTGCAGCTGCTGGTTTCCATCCTCCTGGTAAACTKTGGACAGTCAGAGTGGTCACAGCTGAGCTGATCAGTCTGTCTGTTCTGACAGCACAGGAGTAGTTTCCTGCATCCTGACTGCTAACTGCATCTAGAATCAGCTGTTTGTTGTGTCTTGTTGTCAGCTTCAGAGGTTGACTGTTGAAGAACCAAATGTAGTTTGAGTTTTCAGAGAGAGGACAGGTGGTTCTGCAGCTTAATGTGACTCTCTGACCCTCAGTCACCTCTGCAGCAGGTCCAACATCCACTCTGACACCTGCAGCGTGGACAGATGGGTCAGGAAATACAAAAACTAACAACAAACAGTTAAAANACACACATTAATAAACCGCGAATGGAATCCACGGTTCGACCTGGGTTAACAGGAGCCCGAATGACGACATGTGGCAATACCTTTGCACTAAACAGGACTCGGGACTTGGGAAAAAGT